ATTTTACCGCGTTATTTCTGTCAACTTTAGAGAGTAATTACACATTATAATTGCTCAATATAGAGTCCAGTAGGTTCATACAAACCTCCGCGAATTCCAGTAAGATATCTTTAATCATTTCTAAGATACAACAGTTCAGAACTTAATCTAACAATTGTACAAATTTGCTGTTACTCGATTTGAATATATATATATATATATATATATATATATATATATATATATATATATATATATATATATTTACTGGGTGTAGTAGCAAAATTGTTCAAATCGAGTAACAGAAAATTTGTCCAATTATTAGATTAAGTTCTGAAACAGCCTGTCACCTCTGAGTGTTGTCTTCAATGTTCACTTTCATATTTATCTTTACACACTCTATCTCTGATATTGAGCACTTTATCACATAAATATAGCACACCTTAAAACTATATATATATATATATATATATATATATATATATATATATATATATATTATTATTTATTATTACTTGTAATATTTTGCTTGACCCAGCTAATGCTCTACAATGGAGCGGTTCGGGGGAAAGGAAAGTCGTGTTTCTTGAAGCACAATCCGTTTGGTGATGTAATTCTGAATGAGTATCACCGCGGAATTTGAGAGTAGCCGAGCTATATCGAGTCTGTTCAGTTTCTTCTCGGTCAGCGAGGTCCATTGGTATAATTGGTATGACGCTTGCGTTGTATTAAAGCGGTACGGGTTCGAATCTCGATAGTGGATGCGCGCTGCTGATAAGTCCCCAATATAGGACGAAACGGCCGTTGAGAGTTTTCTGTATTCTATTGAGGATTGTTTTAGACTCGATGAATTACTATAATGATTTAGCAAAAATCCTATTACTTTATTTTTATTTTTATTTATTTTTTATTTTATTTTATATATATTATTTATATATATATATATATATATATATATATATATATATATATAACCCGTAGGGGGCATCTATCCGATATCAGGGATAAATGGATTTCAAAGTACATTTTTATGCCTACAATGCGCCATTAGTTCAGGCCACATATTCAAGATTTTACCACCCGTTCACAGTAGAATTAGTCATTTTTCAGTCAGCCATACACTGCAGATTTCGATAAATCCGTTGTTCACTCAAGTCAGTACCGAAAGACATAAGTCTGTTTCCATCTTGAACTCATTTGCCTGAAGATTGCGTTCAAATATGAAACAGACACTCGGTGTTTATCTCAGTGCCCACATTTATATTTATATACGCTCTGTCACTGATATTAAACAATGTTACCGATTAATATAATATATATTATGTCTCATATATACCGGGTGTAACAGCAAAATTGTCCAAATCGTGCAACAGCAAAATTATTCAATTGTGAGATTAAGATTTGACTCGTTCTATCTGATAAATGATTAAAGATATGTTACTGGAATTCTCCGAAGTTTTTATAATATTTTGAACTCTAAGAATGTATTTAGCTCTAAGTTGAAATGATGATCCTTCATGGAGTTGTGAGCTCCTGATCCAGTTCTCTTTATGAAACTGGAATAGACTTTGAAGATGGAAGTCCGGGTATGAACGTTGGTACAATTACAGAAGGCCAGAATGATCTTTTCCTCTCACCATTGCTCAGTTGGGAAGACATAGTGGGGCTGACGCTAAATGATTTTAACCTGTTCTCTTTCCAGCTGAATAACTCAAAAGACTCTTTTCAGTTATTCTTACAAAAAATGGTGTCAAGATGCCTAAACGTCTTGTCTGAAAACATGGAGAAAGAAACTCAGTTAAATGTTTTTTTTTTGTTTGTTTTTTTTTGGGGGGGTAAATTTTGTGCAATGGCAATTATCACATGCTATTACACGATATGAACAATTATGCTATTACACGTGATATATATATATATGTGTGTGTGTGTGTGTGTGCGTATATATATATATATATATATATATATATATATATATATATATATATACACGACTCCGAAAGTACGAATCGGAGTTTTATGCACAGTGCAATCATCAGTTATATATATATATATATATATATATATATGTGTGTGTGTGTGTGTGTCATTCGCAGACAGTACTGTTTCGGTGTATCACAGTTCCTCAGTGCCACTAGACCACCGAATGCCTCAAGCCCGGATCGAAACCTAACCGATTTGGTATCAGCCAGAGCTTCTAGCCATCTTCACTCGACAGAACGAATCAGCCAAATCTAGCGTATTGTTTTTACAAACGTAAATAAACGCCAAGCAGCCATAGTGCTCCATTCATTTTACTGAAGAGCTTCTTATTTACACAGTTGACCGTTGTTTTTAGAATTGGCTTGTCGTTCAACAGTGCTCAATTGAAAATATATTTTCAAGAGCTAAATATATATTTGTTAAAATCTGCTGTATATATGAGAGAATATTTATCAATATATTGGCGTCTACAAAAATCTTGCTTCGTAAATAAATACAAATAAACTTTTCTTAATAATGTTGAGACGAAAAAAAATCCAATATGCTTGCGGATTTTTTCTCATTAGTAATTTTTATACGCATTTCATTGTAAGATAGGCAATAAAGCCACTAAGACTCAAGGGGGTTGTGAGTTTGAAAGAGTATCTAGCCGTTTCATCTTTAAAATGGTGAGATCCACCCGCCATACTAGTAATGCACTTAAATTCTAGGTGCCATAGAGGAGAGTTCATCAGAAAGTATTTACAAAAAAAAAAAAAAATGAACGTATTTACAAAAAAAGAGACAGGGAAATTGCATTACGGTGGTGTGAAAGTGACTGAAGCCGAGATGCCAGATCAAGACCATTGACATTGCAAATTCTTTTTTGGGATTTTATTAAATATCTCTAAATATATAGCAGGGGCATATATACGTCCATATGCGCCTGCAAGATTCAAAGTATGGTCGGTGGAAGACTTATAAATATAAGCTAGATTTCGACCGAGAAAAATTATCCAACAAAGCATAATGAACCAACATTCTTTGTAGCGGACCTAACAACTGATGTAATATCTTTCCCCATCTTGTCAGCAGAAAATATTAGCGTGAGAAGATGCAATTAGTTACTCTTCTGAAGTTTAGCATTAGCCATATTGATGGAAAAAAGAAAGAGTTCTCTCAGATAATTAACAGAGAACAAAGAAATATTACATTGTTAGGGCGCAGTATAGATGTTTGCTTCTCCTATATTTGCCGCCAAACAAGGCAAGAGAACCCAATCTATCCCGATATATCATTATATTGTTTCAAAATTGATATATTTTGGGGTGAAAAGTGATCAATGTCAAGAATGGAGCGTATGCTGATATTACCGTGATCTCATAATCGCTTTAGGTGTGAAAATTCCACCCTACACGTCGCAACTATCTATCTATCTATCTATCTATCTATAGATCTCATTCTGGTCATATCTATTTATCTTTCTATATCATTCTGTTAGTGTCTGTCTGTCTGTCTATCTATCTATCTATCTATCTATCTATCTATCTATCTCATTCTTTCCTTATCTATCTATCTATCTATCTATCTATCTATCTATCTATCTATCTATCTATCTATCTCATTCTGGTCATATCTATTTATCTTTCTATATCATTCTGTTAGTATCTATCTATCAATCTCATTCTTTTCTCTATCTATCTATCTATCTATCTATCTATCTATCTATCTATCTATCTATCTCATTCTTTTCTCTATCTATCTATCTATCTATCTATCTATCTATAAATCTCATTCTGGTCATATCTATTTATCTTTCTATATCATTCTGTTAGTTATCTATCTATCTATCTATCTATCTATCTATCTATCTATCTATCTATCTATCTCATTATTTCCTTATCTATCTATCTATCTATCTATCTATCTATCTATCTATCTATCTATCTTATGCTGTTCATATCTATCTATTTCATTCCGGTCACATCTATATATCGATCGCATTTTATTTATATATATCTTTCTACCTATCTACCTATCGAACTCATTATGTGAATATCTATCTATCGGTTTATGGAGAAATGATTGCATCACTAATGTTCCACACATACATACACATTAACACACACATATACAAACACACACACGAATACGAGTATCGACAAAGTTTACACGCGTTTGATTATTTTAGGAGGGAGGAACGAATTTTAAATGATCCTACACGCATGACTATCATATGGAAGACACATCCGTATCCAACGATAAACAGCTATTTTGAGTAATCAAGCCAAGACAATCATTAGCCCCAGGGCACAACAACAACAAGAAGAACCCTTTTAAGGAGTGTTTGGTAAGGCCGGAAATACGTGAAGTATCGCTAATTGGAGCCATATGCTGTTAGTAACAGTATTTCGGTCGACTAAAGTTTGAAAATAATGTAAAAAAGAAAGATCTGAATTTATCCTCTTACTTTTAAATCATTATTTGCGTAGAAGAGACTTAGTAGTATCTCTGTCAATATGTAATTTAGGTTTCAATATATATATATATATATATATATATATATATATATATATATATATATATATATATATAGGATGATATGATGTGTTTTACATATCAGACAAATATTGAGTTAATGAATGAGAAAATGTACAAACTTTTATATTACGGGTTTCGTACCTTAGAAGTACTTCTACAGATTAGTACTTTTATCAACGGAATCATTTACACACACACACACACACACACACACACACACACATATATATATATATATATATATATATATATGTATATATATGTGTGTGTGTGTGTGTGTAAGGGTTCACCTCTTTTTTTTCATACAAGTGGACTCGCCCAGTGTGTACTTGTACTGCTGCCGGTGAATACCCGAGAGTGAGAGTGAGAGTGATACACTGATACATTGAAACAGTGAGAGTGTGAGGTAACCGCTTTGTAGGAGTCACAGTTGCGAGCACGTAGACTCAGAAGCAAGTCATACTTCGATACTGAATTTCCCAGACTCTACATATATTATTATTGCTACTAACCACATTTCTGGATCTACTAACCGTATTACCAATTGTATTATTACGTCAATACATTTATTTGCTATCTTTCATTTCTGCGTTTGTCATTCATTTGAGACTGGATTTCATCTCGGAATCCACAACAATAGATTAATCGTCCCCTCCCCCATCAAGGAAGGCAATAATTCTTCAGTCACACGTGGTTACTGGGAGTGAAAGAACATGAGAAAACTTTTAGAAGGGACAGGAAACAAAGGATAAACCCCTAGACCTGTTCAAAATCCGGGCGAGGAGTGTGAACAGCGCGATAGGCGAACCTATCTACTCTTATTGAAAAAATAGAAAATAATAAAATTTAAATTAAATTATTTAAAAAAAAATATGCGATAGATTAAGTTTAAAAAACATGAAGGGAGAAAAACCGCAAATGCCGTTTGCAATGCTATATTGGCAAACGTTGAAGCTAACATGACTGTTCGCTTTGAATTTCATTTTTTGTCATCTGCTGCATTTCGAATTTTGGAATGTTCCACAGTAAATTTACATCTGTTAAGAAATGTCGGAAATAATGAAGAATAGACTTATGTGAGTGGAGCGACGATGTCGACCAGGGAGTCTTAAAGCGCGAACACCTCATTCTCTTCCGCTTTATTAACCTTCCGTTTAGAATGGCGGAAGAGGTGAGGGCAGATGTAAAAAAAAGGCCTTCACCTCATACTCATGGTCTTTCTTTGGCCGACAATGAAACAAGTTGTTATTATTGTTTCTGTCTCTTATTACTGTGGTTACCTGACCCTAGCGGAGAGGGTCGTAAAGGAAGGGCGTTTTTCTTTTGCAACCCGGTCATTTACCAACTATTTCCACGCTGGTCATTTCAGTCGAATTCATTTTCGACGGATAAAAACATGACTAAATGGAATGAAGATGACACATTACTAGAATTTATGCGGACAGATTACTTAAGCTTTATATTTACGGAGAGTGACCACATTAAAATATCCGAAACGCAAATGATAAGAATCCTGAAACGTCTCTTATTTAGCTGGATATCTCTTCAAACGCAGATAATTTTCAGCCTGTGCATACATGTGGCTTGTTTTTTCCTTATCGAAAGCAGGACTTGTCAGTAATTTAACTTCTCATAACGGTAAGCAAACCCTACATTGATTGATTTGTTATTTACGGATTATCAGCCTTACATAAGTTATTTAAAGCCAGAAACTATTTTAAAATTGTAATAATTTTTTTTATATAATAATGATTTATTTGGAGATAATAAGGAATATCAACTTTGCTCGTCGTTGTTTAATTCCGTAATCGTTTTTTTGGCCGACAAGTTTTATTATTTCTATTTTTTCAATAGGAGTAGATAGGTTCGCCTATCGCCCAGTTCACACTCCTCACCTGGATTTTGAACAGGACTAGGAGTTTGTCCTTTGTTTTCCTGTTTATTTATATCGATATTTAAATATAGACACTTAAGTTTGTTTATTTTCAACATCGAAAAATATTGATTTATTCTCGCTTTAGAGGTAGGTGTCTTGTTTATAATATGAATACAATTTCAAATCGATCCATGAGTTCTTTAAGAATCAACGTGATATGGTCGTAAACCAACAAACCCCAGCAGATTCCGTAGACAGTGATCTATAGATGTTTAAAAGAAATTTATATCAGTTTCGAGACAAAGAATATGGAGAGAGAGTAGCAGTTTATGAAGAATCACATGAGGATGTATAATGGTATCATGAATGTAAATCTCATTCGCAGAGTTTTCGTCTGCCATATTTAGATCCAAGGGTACAGTAAGGAAAAGGAAATTTTCTCTCGGCTACACAAATTAGAGATTTCCAAGAAGTGACAATCACTATGTATACATTGACGCGCAAAAGGTAATGAGATAACGTCGTGAAAAGGTAATGGTAGTTAGCAAACTGTAACTTGACGTTATATAAATGCTCCGTCTTCGGGCGAAGAGTGACTCAATCGCGGATCTGTTTTCGGCTGAGAAAAACAGCCCAGGTGTGTACCCGAGCCCGCTTTCGCGGGGATTGGGTAAATTTTGACCACTGACTCGGGCGAAAACGCTCGGATACCTCACAGAAAACTTGACCTTCTGTCGCATCGAGTCCGCAGTGGAAGTCAATCGTAGAGGATTCAATGACGTCATGACGGGTAGCCTAAGCTACAATGAGTTATAATACTATTGTTCTAAGTCCATGTTTAGTCATCCATTTAAAAAGTTCATTACAGCTTTGCTACGTACATAGGGTTTAATCGCCGTCCGAATTTGCGTCTTTCATTGGCAAGAAGGATGTTGTACTCAGTTTCTCCCCAAGAACCTCCATGTTGGAAAATGAACTCCCGCGTGGATGCTTACTCATTATCGTCTGTAATCTGACATTTAGATAGTGGGGACACCAGCTAGGTTGCTCATGTTATATCATATGATAGATATATCATCTAATTTTCAGATTATAATATCTTTCCTGTAGTGATTTTACTAGATGCCAAGTTTAAATATGCAAAATAAAACTTGATCTCTTATATCTAAATTAATCCATAATTTTTATTTATTTATAAATAAATACAAACGATACACACCATAGGAAATTGAATGTTTGAATAACAGAGTATACTATCTATGTAACTCTATATGCATATAAAATTCTGTGAAATCCGTTACCCTGTCCTTCCATCACACCCTCTACAATAATCATAAACTGACCTATCGAAACCAAATTTTGGGTAGAACTGATTGCAGTTTTGGCGATATAATTAACCAAGTCAAACGAAAGAAAAAGTTGGAATTTAGCTTCAGAAATAAATATTTATGTTGCATGCTCAAGAGTAAGAAATCCTCAGAATTTATTCTTCGCTATAAAAAAGGAAAAGTGACAAAGGAGTTTTTAAAAATGTGGTTTGCCATGAACTCCTATAAAATTAAATTAAAAAAATTATTAAACCGCGAAGCAGGGGTTTTGTCAAAGTATATTTTTTTCAAATAAATCAGATTATTCAAATTTCATCGATATTTCAAAATTTCATTGATATTTCAAATTTCAGCGGAATTGAATGAAATTTTGCAACTCTCGACAAAAATGTCAGTGATAACTTCAGCAATAATAAATTCTGTGAAGATTTCAACATACATGAACGTGTTGCCAAAAATTCTAGTCGATTATAATTTTGTTATTTTACATTTTACGAGGGCTCCTGGATAATATTTAAATATTGGCATTCATGACTTTGTTAATTTTTCCACTGTTTCAAATTTATCATTATTTGCCGCAAACGTTAATGCTTCTCCGAATTCTTCATTGTTTTTTGGGTTTTTTTTTTCAATTTGATATACATCACTTTTAATCAGCCATCATAAATGTTCTATTGGATAAATAACTGGAGAGGCTATTAAATGCGATCAATTAATTTTACGTCTTTGCAACCATTTTTGGCAAAATCGGTAATAGCCAACTTCGCAGAATGTAAAAACGCAGTAAGTGATTGTAAATAGTTCAAAGATAAACGGATGTTATAAACTGACATTTGCCTCATATTTATTGGTACTTAAGTTTGTTTATAGAAAAAGGAATTGTAGATTAACTTTCATTAGACATTCCTTAACCGACAACTTTTTCAAAATCGAAAAAATATTGATTTATTATCGCTTTAGAGGTGCGTGTCTTGTTTATAATATGAATACAATTTCAAATTGATCCATGAGTTCTTTAAGAGTTATATATACTTCGTGTTTATTTGCAAATGTCAGGTTTGATTACGGCATTAGTAACTTGACATTTTGAAATAAAAAAGAACAGTTAACTTTTAAGATGTTAAGTAGGTTTATGTGTTTAGTGAATATTCTTAAGATATGGTGGATAGATAAAGACTGGTCGTAGATTTGGAGAGGTTAAGATTGTAATTTTCGAGGAAGCATCCACGCGGGAGTTCATTTTTCAACATGGCGGTTCTGAGGGAGAACATCCTTCTTGCCAATGAAATACGCAAATTCGGACGGCGATTAAACTCTACGTACGTAGCAAAGCTGTAACGAACTTTTTAAATAGATGACTAAACATGGACTTAGAACAATAGTCATTCTAGCTTAGGCTACCCGTCATGACGTCATTGAATCCTCTATGATTGACTTCAACGGACTGGTATTTACCGCTCACTCCACTGCGGACGAGATGCGACAGAAGGTCAAGTTTACTGTGAGGTATCCGAGCGTTTTCGCCCGAGCCAGTGGTCAAAATTTACCCAATCTCCGCCAAAGCGGGCTCGGGTACACACCTAGTCTGTTTTTCTCAGCCGAAGACAGACCCCCGACTGAGTCACTCTTCAGAGGTCTTGTCTTGTCTTGTCGCGAGTCTTGGACAGACTGTAACTGACTTCTGACTCATTTTGAATTCTCTATTTAATGAGACTTGCCTAGTCCATTTGTGCCACCAGAGTGTCTTATTTACACCACAAAATATAGTAAGTTGACAAATATTATTTGGACTTTTTTTTATTAAAAAATCGGTATCACCCCCTTGCAAGGGCGTAAAGCCACTAAGACACAAGGGATTACAGGGGGTGAAGGAATTAGGAACATAAACATCAATAATGAATGGAAAGAGAAAAGAGTAATAAGGAAGACAGCAGATAGCGATTGACATTGCATTTAAATTTTTGAAGATTAAAATTGGTCGGTAAGCATGGAGCTGGAAAGGAGATTCACAAGCGAAAAGTGCGAAGAAAGAAAATGTTAGCATAGAACTTACGTCTATATATAGCCTGCTCAACCGCCAACAGATACATCTGGATGCCAGTCTAGTAGTGTGCTTAAATTCATGAGGTCTAGGTACCATAGCGAAGAGCTCATCCAAACAGTTACCGTAAAAGTATTAATAAAATAATCACAGATTGGCAACGGTAGTGAGAAAGTGAAGGAAGCCGAGCGGCCAGATCACGGCCAATAATATTGCTGATTCTTCTTTGGATCTTATCAAGGAACTCTAAGTAAATAGAAGGGGCGGTGGACCTTATATGGCAGCAATATACTAAGCATGGACGAATAGATATGCAAGATAGATTCTGGAAAGAAAAGTTGTCTCACACGATACAGTGACCCGACTTTCTTGGTAGCTGACCTAGCAACGGATTCAATATAGTCTTTCTACTTCAGGTCAGCCAAAAAAGTTAGCCCGAGAAGGCTAAACGAGTCCCTTTTCTGGAAGTTATCATCAGTCATTCTGATTGAGGGCTGAGAGGGATCTCTCGGCTGATAAATAGAGAGACGTTTAGTTTTGGAGGCGTTAAAATTAGCAAGCTATATTTTGATTCAAGTTAACAACGGACTGAAGGTCGTTTTAGACATCGGCTATCATTTTCACCGTCAGTACGTCAGCAATAGACCTAGAAAAACGAAGGCTATGTTGCTTGTCTGCGAAAAGGCCATGTGATAAGAGATTCTGAACTAATTCAGTATTGATTAAGGCCTCTAAGAGTTTCCCATAAAAAAGATAGAAGGCTAATAGGACGATATTTGGAAGGGTCGGACGGCTCGCCAGGGTTCTTATAATCTGGCGATTACTTCCAGCAGGCGGGAAAGCAGTAGGCGGGAAGGCAGCAGGCAGGAACGCAGCAGGCGAAAAAACAGCAGGCAGGAACTTAGCAGGAGGGAAAGCATCAGGCGGGAAATTATCAGGTAGGAACGCAGCAGGCGGGAAAGAAGCAGGCAGGAACGCAGAAGGCGGGAAAGCAGCAGGCAGGAACGTAGCAAGCAGGAAAGCAGCAGGCGGGAACGCAGCAGGCGGGAAAGCACAGGCGGGAATGCAGTAGGCAGGAAAGCAACTGGCGGGAACACAGCAGGCGGGAAAGCAGCAGGCGGGAACGCAGCAGGCGGGAAAGCAGCAGGCGGGGATTGCAGTAGGCAGGAAAGCAGCTGGCGGGAACGCAGCAGGCGGAAAAGAAGCAGGCATGAACGCAGCAGGTGGGAAAGCATCAGGCAGGAACGCAGGTGGCGTGAAAGTAGCAGGCAGGAACGCAGCTGGCGGAAAAACAGCTGGCGGGAAAGCAGCAGGCAGGAAAGCAGCTTGTGGGAAAGCAGCAGGCAGGAACGCAGCTGGCGGGAAATTAGCAGGCAGGAACGCAGCTGGCGGGAAAGCACAGTCCAGAAATCAGCAGGCAGGAACGCAGCAGGCAGAGTGTCATTAATTATAGTTTAAAGAGAAGAGGGGCAAGTTGGGGAGCACATTCCTTAATGACTATTACTGGGATATAATTGAGTCCACATACTTTGTAGATATGATAGCAAAAACCATTGAAGTGGTTATATGCATATCACTCAAAAGATTCAATTCTAAGTGGGAAGTTAGGCAGGGATACTCCAGATGATTTAAGAGTAGAGTTTAAGAAGAATTTCCGGGCATAGCATTCAGCTTTAACAACAGAGAATGATAACTGCTCAAATCGATTGACGAGCGGAGGAATCAAGACCTTGCACTTATTTAACACCTATTACATTTGCCAGTAAACACGAGAGCCAATGTAATTGGAGGTTCAGCAGTGCCTCATTCTCTCAGCTAACAAGGACTTAGCTCCTTCCAGGACTAGCTTACATTTATTACGAGCAAAAACGAACAGGCACTTGTTGTTACGAGAGCTGTCACGCTAGTATAGCCGAAAATAGTGGTTCCTGTTTGTTATAGCGGCCAAGCATGCTGGTGTGAACCCTGGAGAGGATTGAGGTTTCACCTGATATTTCAGAGAAGAGATGAAGGCGTCCATGCTGGCTTCGATCCAGAAAGAAATCTCAGTGGCGCAATTTTCAGTTGGGAGGTTAAAGATGTCAGTTTAAACTACAAAGAATAGGAAGCTGTGGAGAGCCATGGATTGCCATGTTCATCAGTCTAGTGAGCTCAATCTGCACTTGACACTATACTTATGTCCTTGTGATGGTTGGGGTTTAACGAGGGTCGCGCTTTATTAATATATGTGTTGTCACAATAATTTCACACATCGTTATGTAAAAGCTGAGAAAGTGATCTGTAAAATCACAGATCATCTGTCTATCGAATCGTTCATCTGGTTACGTGTTTACATATATACTTCCATCACGAAAGCTCTTACCAGCATAGAAAGAAATATTTCCGGCATACGTTTCCATTTTAACATTTTCGATTGAGATTTGATATAAACAGTGAGGTTTGACGGCATGAGATGCCATCATCGGCCTCCCTCCTGATCATTTTATCATTTATGAATGCCTACACAAAATAAGGGACGCCATTTTTATTTTATATATGTTTCTTTTATTTATGCAGTATGACGTGCAAATTGTCACGGGAGATCGCTTTGCTATCTAAAAGTGTTCCATTTTCATTTTGCTTTGCTTCCCGGGCGCCATTTAGAAGATTTTATCAAGACCCTTGGCCCTCTTCATTTCTCCTCTTTCTGGAGATGGCAGGGGCTTCGTCGTTGAATCGCAAGTAGGGATGACATCTTCGAAATGCATTGATTTTATTTTCCATTTGAGAAGTGGTCGGTTTATCACGACTGTGATTTCAGGTCTGTATACACACGGAGGTCATCTATGAGGCTCCACGAATCAAAGGCAGTGAGTTTTTTTTTTTAAATAACGTATAATCCAAGGATAGATCAGTAGATAGGAGGCCGCAGTGAAAAAATTTCAAATTATGCCTGAGCAAAATTGAAATCGTTACGTATTTTTCCATTCATGCAAGAGGCAGACGTGTGAACCAACGGAAGAGCTTGAACTTCGAAATGCCATTTTTTTTTCCAAAGAGGAAAGCCTGCCTCACTGGATCTGCCTTGAGTTTAAAATATTTGGATATTTATCACCGACGCTAGTGTACGGTGTTCGATTCTTGATAAAAGCTAGTAATTCAAAAGCTGATTTTCGAAAGAGAAAAAGATGCCAAATTGAACTGCCTCGAGTTCGAAATATTTGCGTATTAATCACAGAAGCCAGTGTAAGCAATTCTATTAGTTTGGCGCTATATAATGGTTTTGGGCAGATTTAACTTCCACTTGGCTATGTGTCGTATTAAGTCAATCTCATTAAACTTTGTACGATAATGCAGCTCAGAATTCTCTCCCAGAGATTGCTCTATGCGAATTAGCAGTCTTATGAAGTGTATACGGTTGAAATGTTGGGAAAAAAGACGAGGGAACTAATTTTAATATAACCGTGCATGATAATTAATATACGCAGTTTAACTAACTCCGGTCAAATAATTTAACAGTATTTTATCTTTTGACGTTTTCATTTAAACTGAATCTAAGTCAAACATTTTTTTACATTAATGTGTTAAGTATTGTTAGCAACTGAGACACACAACAAAGCTAATAATCGGAATTTTTTTGAATGAGGCCAGAACTAGGACAAGAACTGTATGGTTTTGGCAAAAAACACTGGAACAGAAAATGATATACGATCAAGATGATATCAGAAAGAGTAAGACAAATGAATCTGTTTTACGCGAAGCATTTGATAAGGTACGGAAAAAGAAATATATTACAGGAGTACATCACGTGATTTTATTTTCCATTTGAGAAATGGTCAGAGTATCACAACTGTGGTTTCAGGTCTCTGTACACACGGAGGTCATCTATGAGGCTCCACGAATCAGAGGCAGTGAGTTTTTTTATTAAAATAACGTATAATCCAAGGATAGGCCATTAGATAAGAAGACGCAGTGAAAAAAAAGTTCAAATTATGCTTGAGCAAAGTTGAAATCTTTACGTATTTTCCCTTCCCTTCACGTTAGATCATCGAAGTTAACCAAACGTTGAGTCTGGTCATTACCTAGATGGGGGACCCTTTGGGAATACCAGGTGCTGTAAGCTTGGGTGTGCGGGTGGTGTAATGGATAATGGCTCGGAATTGTTAATCGGAAAGCCGAGTTTCAATTCCACTCGGGTTCGTTATATTCATTTACGTGCAAAATAGCGTTAGGAAAGATATTATTACACCTCTTCCCCCGCCAGTTATATGTTAATTATTCATATTTGTATCACAATCATTATTATTTCGAAAGAAATTCTTACAATCTACAATTGCAAGAATCTTTCTTTAAATGACCTGCAAAAGGTTGATAAACCGTAAAAAATAAACATGCTGGCACTTGTATTTGGTACGCAAGTGGAAATGTGCGAGGCCATTGCAATACCAATGCATCATCTTCTTTGTAAATTAATTTAGAATTGTAAGAATCTGGCTTCAAATAACCTGGAAAGGGTTGATAAACAGTAAAAAACGATCATTTGAACAGCTGGGATAACCGTACTAGTTTGTGAAGGATGTTAAAATGACCCAGAACTTATACTCGGATCAAATTGCCTGTATACGGATAGAAAATGAACTGAGTGTATAAACATTAATAGAAAGAAACAGAAAGAGAGAGAGAGAGAGAGAGAGAGAGAGAGAGAGAGAAATATACGACTAGCGACTCTGTCCTGGCGGCAAGCTATTAAACTGACCTCTATAGGGGTGACATCTTAATTCAGTCCGAAACCGGCCGACACACGAGTCATCCCGCACGCTTTGCTTACAATCTTCCTCCTCTCTGTTTCACACCCTCAGCGAAAACCCGTCAGAAGACACTCTCTCCCTATTCATGACTGCTCCGTTTATCTTTCGCCTTTGGTGTTTGTGTCATAGGGGGGGGGCACTTCCAGATCCGTCTCGAGATACTTCCAGAATCACGTAAAGTCTTCTAGAAAGGACCAGATTTCTCTCGGACCATCATTTGGAATCGGATGTCCTTCGCATTCATTTATTTATTTTGCGGATCAGATAGCTGGCTTAATTATAACGAGCACTGGTCGATCGCATTTACCCGTGAAAACCTGGCGTGCTCCTGCTGGCCGCGTTGACCTTTCTCACTGAGGGTTCGACTTTAAAAGGCTATTCACAGAATAACGTGTATTGTTTGGCGACTGGATGACCCCCTAGCCCACATGGTTGTAATTTCTAGTGTTGCTAAAATTCCTTCTTTTTATTTTTAAAAGAACCTAATGTAAATTGACTCTGAAATTTCTTACATGCCCCACATTACATAACATACTGTACAAAACCGGGGGCCATTCTATGCAGAGGGTTACGTTAGGTTGCACTTTTACGGATAAGAGAAGATAATAGTTAACCCTCAACATGAAAATGATAAGATTATAGTAACCAGAGAAACATCCCCTTGGAAGTCGATTCCACAGAGCAGTTGTTCGCTGTTCGAGTGGGACTTACTTCTTATCAACGGAAGGAATGCGGTTGGGTTTACTACAAAGTGGCATGGTGGGTCCTTGTCGTGAAGGTTAGAACTGGTGGAACTAAAGGATGTATTTCGTCCGAGCACTTTCAGTGAAAATAACGATAGAGCAACGACAGGTTTCCCATATCCCACCTTTGAGTGTTTGGAGGGTGGAAAATAATTCGACACCCACAAGGACTCGGGGACGCTTGGGGCACAATTACGACTGAATAGTGAGTTCGATCCTTACTGGTATGCCACATTTAAACTACGCTGAGAAAATCATTTACTGACATTGTGTCACAACCTGGCTCAATGGGGTGGGGGCCAACTAAATCTCTGACTCGGAGACGCTTTTCGACTGAAGGGTGAAGAGTGCGGTCTGGGCTGCTCCCGCTCCAAAATGACAACATTACTCCATTTTTGGTCTCATCTGGCTCTTGTAAAGGTAGGGGATGGCACGTGGAGTCTGGTACTTACCAGAGCGGTACAGGGACCCGACCATTTTACTTGCATCTTGAGCAATCGACCGTATGTATGAGTTCCACTTGGTCAGATGTGAGTTTAAGGCGCAATCGTCTCTCTATGCACGATGCCACTGCAAGGGGTCATCCGTTCACGGTGACTGCCGGTAGTTCGGAATCAGATCAACGATGATGGAGTGTAACTATTAACCAGTCAGTTTTTTCCCAACAGGGTGGTTCGTGCTATCTCGGAAGAAAGTTCAGGTGCCAATATCTGATCATCGAGAGTTTAAAGAGGCGCACCTATATATTGTCATATCATCGCCATAGATGTTTACGAATCATAATATTCTTAGGCAGGTCATCTGTGTAAATAAAAAAGAGGATTGATCCAAGGTGTGACCCCTTGGAGACGCCGGTGTTGATAGGCCAGAGGACTGGCAATTAATAACTACCTACAGGGAGGTTTTTCAAATGGTAACTGGAGAAAATACGACTTAAAATAGCTGTGCATATCTTAATAATAAAATATGCAGCTCGTAAAACGGACCGCGTTTTCGGCTCCACCGTTTCGTCCTGAAACCGGCAAAACGTTCGTGGGCACGGCAGATGACAGCTGCTCAGAGGAACAAATCAGTTTTGAATTCGCCTTCCGCCTACAGGATACCCTGCCTCGACTTGCCCGCCGGGAACGGGTCACGATGACGGACTGCAGTAAATGTGCGTTCCATGCCATCCGTACAGATGAGAGCTTCTTTTCATGTGCTGTGTCTCCTCAGAACGAAGGCGATCATGGCTCTTCACGATTTCCTGTCCTTTATACTTCTAAATAATATTTTGATATTTCTCCCGCCATCCATTTAGTCACGCTCATTAAGTATGTTATGCGTTGTTTTCCTCTGCCTTCACTATGTCCTGTGAGTATCAGATTTTCCAAGCCTTCTTTTCTCGTTATGTGTCACAGAATTTTCAGCTGTCTCTTCCTGATGGTAATTATAAAATTCCTTTTTGTTTCCATTTTCTCTGTAACTTTGTCGATGGTCACATATTCGGTCCATTGGTATCCTCAGCATTCTTCTGTAGAACCACATCTGTTAATTCTTTTAAGGAAATTATCCAGACCGACGGTAGCAAAGAAAGCCAAACAGAAACCACCGCACTCCTCATTCCTCCCTCGGGATGAATTTGTGATTTTTTTAAAAATCGGTATCACCACATTCAAAGCGGCTAAAATACAAGGAGTTACAGGGTGTGGAGGATTTAGGAACAGAAACATTAACAATTCGTGGAAAGAGAATCGACCAACAGGAGGACAGTAGATAGTGATTAACATTGCATTTAAATTAATGCAGATTAAAATTGATTGGAAAGCCTGGAGCCAGAAGGGAGTTCCACAAGCGAGAAGTGCGAAAAAAACTGTTAGCATAGAACTTATGGCTACATCTAACCAGATCAACTGTAAATTGATAAAATCTCAACGCCTAGTCTTGTACCTTGCTTAAATTCATAAAGTCTAGGTACCACATCTGAACACTTATCAGGAAAGTATTTATAGAAAAGACACAGAGAGGCAACCTTATATCGGTGAGAAAGTGAATAAAAGCGAGCCGCCAGATCAGGACCAGTAATATTGCTGATTCTTCTTAGTATCTTGTCAATGACCTCTAGGTAAATATCCGGGGTATCGGACCATATGGAGTAGTAATATTCTAAACATTGCCGAATGGTAGACCTATAGATATGTATCATAGATTCTGGAGAATTGTGTCACACGACACAGTGAACCGAATTTCTTAGTAGGTGATTTGGGTAATGGATTCAATATAGTCTTTCCATTTCATGTCAGTCGAGAGCGTTAGACCGAGAAGGGGCAACGAGTTACTTGCCTTCAGGTTAGCATTCAACTTGTGGAGAAGACCTGTCATATCAAAGGCTTTCGAGATATCCAAACCCACAGCATGGGCTTCACTGCTTCTAAAACATGATAGATTCTTTGCGATATTATCGTCGCTACATCAGCAGATGACCTGGAGAAATAAAAGCCATGTTGCTTGTCTGAGAAAAGACCCTGCGATGAGAGATGCTGAATCAATTCATCATTGGTTAAGGCCTCTGAGAGTTTCCCAGGATGAGGTAGAATGCTAATAGGCCGATAGATGAAAGGGTCTGACAGTTCACCTGAGTTCTTAAAGTCTGAAACAATAGGCGGGAGACCAAGAGGCGGGAGACCAAGAGGCAGTGAGTCATTGATTATATAGTTTAGAGAGAACAGAGGACAGTTCTGGGCACACTTTGTTTAGACTCTTTCGCAATTATCGCCAGTACATCAGCAGTTAGCCTGTAGAAACGAAAGCCATCTTACTTGTCTGAGAGAAGGCCATGTGACGTTAGATGCAGAACCAACTCAGCATTGATTAAACCCTCTCAGAGTTTCCAAAAATGATTTAGAAGGCTAATAGGCCGAGTGTTGGAAGGGTCGGACGCTTCACCAGAGTTCTTAAAATCTGGAATCAGCAGTTGACCTTGTGGAACAATCACGCGGTCAAGATAAACACTCAGTTGTGGAGCAAGCTGAGTGAATAATAACTCAACCTTAAAAGAGCTATTTATGGTGCCATGGAGCATCTCATTGTGCTAAAGTGGGATAGTCCATTGCTTGGGCTGTGATTGGCTGCTGGTACATGAGTGGAGGTATTTCTGTATAAATACCAGCTTGATTCATCAGTTAGTTTGCAGGGTTTGTATTGAGTTACAACCTGCTTTATTTTTGTCTGCCAGCTGGACGCTAGCTGGGACCCTTACGCAGGTAAGTGCTGTTTATTGTATTGTTATTCTACAGACCTAAAGAAACGAAAGCCATATATCTTGTCTGAGAAAAATAGTTTTTCTATTCTAGAAATGGTTCTCAACATCAATCAGAAAGAATCTGAAAAAACAAATTTAACGTCTTACGCCAGTAGTTTGAGCCTCCCGTGACCAGCATCAATTTCTGAGCTGTACCAAGTTAAAAAGATCCCCTGTCATTATTTTTAGCGGCACGATTTACCAAAGCTTCCACCATCTGTTGGCCTTCTTAAAGTAGTGATTAACGAGAAACGTGCCTCTTGCAACACGTGCATATTAAACTTGTCCATTCCTCAAAAGAATACCTATACACTGATCTGCCCTTTCCAAACAACACGAGTGCCTATGATATGAAATAAAATGCTTGAAATCAGGCATTGACTGTCGATTCAAATATTAATTTCATTCAAGAGTGCTTAATGAATTGTTATACGATCAATGTTTTTCTTTCCTTTAACAAGGTCTAATTAAAATAATATTTTTCTTCCCAACCTCCAAGTAATAAATTCCATCGAAGGCGGAATATTATTTGTATAGCGTTCGTCGCACACAAACGGATATACGCAAAGTTAAGTGTATGCTTCGTATCCTAGCAATAGACAGAAGGCTGGCGTAGCTGATTTTTAGTGCCATTGACTGCTAACTTTTAGGTAAATGTTCAAACCTTCGGTATCTTGGCTTCATAAACGAGAAACAACTACAAATATTGACTGACTTACTTTTCTAGCTCTATGTGCCGTATCCCTTCAGGACTAGGTGATCATGTCTCTCCACTACTACCTAGCTGATGAAATGGAATAACCAGTCACCCCTATGAATGATCACACTATAGGTAGCAAGTAACTATAAAGTCAACCGTCTACGAGAGAAAGAGGAGGAGAGTGAGAGAGACGACGCAAGCACGTCCGACCTTCCATTTAGTGACACTCACTACTAGATTGACCTGTGTGTATAACTGTATCGTATTTCATATTGTACTTGTTGTGTACAATAATCCTTTATTCTACCTACCTAGTGTTATGTGTTTATTCCCTTAGTACGGAATATAACACTAACATTTGTAGCTCTTTGCACGATTTCTCTTTTTATTATCTCCCTATGTCATCCATTTGCACAAGCACGTTGGGTAGGTTATTTGTTTTACTGTCGCTTTTACATTCAGTATGTCATGTGAGTGTAAAGTTTTCTAAGCCTCCTTTCTTCACTTTATAATCTAGAATTTCTGCTATCTCTTTCTGTGATTTTAAGTATAAGCGTCATTTTTTCCTATTTTCTTTAAATCTTTCTTGTTAGTCACATGTACCCTCATGTCAGCATCCTTCTGTAGAACCATATATCCGTGGCCTTAAATCTCTTCTTCATCTGTGAAGACGTCCACAATTCCCTGCTTAATAGGAGGACTGTTATTATGTATCAGTTCAGCATCCTTTTCTTATATTTTACTTTCTTATAAAATTTTCCGGTTTCATATTACTTTGTTTAGTTTTTGGAAGGCGTATTTGGAAACTTCAATGCAACTGTAGACTTTAGTCTCATGCTTTTCGTACTGAATTCATTAATCAGTTCTGTTTAAGGTATCTTTTTCCTTTTATACCTGTTGCTTTTTCATCGCAACAGCCATTTTTCTTGTTTTTTTTTTTTTTTGTTCTGAAATCTCTACAAATATTAAATAGGCACTGTGCATAGGGGAGGAATTAAACGAAACGGAACGAAAACAAAATCACACTATGCTAAGACAAGGGTCGGCAACCTACGGCCCGCGAAGGCCTTTTGACCGGCCCGCGAGCCTGATTATCAATGACTTTATTTTTAACATGAGAGACGAGGCTTTCGAATTCGACAAAAGGCCTGCTTTTATCTTCCTCTGATCCACCCAACCGAATTTGAATACTATGACCGCAAAAACACGATCAAAACCCAATCACCTCCATTTCAGCGTAAAAAATTAAAAAGAATAGCCATAAAGCAAAAACTGAGAGCCGATTTGACCGACCGACCGACTGGCGAAAGCTTTAAAGGGACAATGTTGTCTCAGTCGGCTTTCTATTTCATTCCTCCAACAGCGACCCCCCCCCATCGCTTACCCCTGCCACCTACTCTATGTAAGTTGCTGGAATCTTTCAATGGGCCATGTTCTTATCTTATCATACCCCTCTTCTTCTCAAACAAGAGTTTTTCACTGATTTTCTTGCATGCGGCCTGGCTCGATACGGGCCATATGTCACGCTTTTTAAAGCTTAATTTCTCTGCAAATTGAAAACAGTTTGAAACCTACACATCATAATTTCATCCATTTCACTTCGATTGATTTTTTTCACTTTGAAGTATTTTGACGTTCCTTGAGGAAAAGTCATTTTTGTTAGGTGTTTTTTTTTTTAATTTTAGATTTTCTTTTGTTTTTCTGATTTCTCAATGTTTATTTTCATTATGGTTTTAAATATTTAGGTTGACAGGGGTCTGCATATGTAATTTTCCTTAATTTTTCGTTAATGGCCTTCGTCCGGCCCGCGACCCGTCATTATAAAAGGATCCGGATCGCGGGGTCGAATGAGTTGTCCACCCCTGCTTTAAGATAGGCAACAAACAAAAAAAAACAAACTAAAACTGATTAAAACGATAAACAAAATTAAAAATTAATATATTTCAATTAAAACATTCGGAAAACTTACGATGATTTCAAGTCTTCTTTTACGTTTCATCGTCTTTCAGGACGTGGGCGATCAACGTTGTCTACAACGTTCTCATTGTTGTTGCTTGACCACTTACAATCACTCTTAATCTTTGCCCTGCCCCATATGCACTAAATCCCGATAAGTTATTTACTCCTTGTTACCCTTGCTTTTCTTGCCTTCCTGCGAGTGTTAACTTCGGCAAGCCTTCCTTCCTTATTGT